GCCTGGTCTACATAGGGAGTTCCAGGCCAGCTGGGGACCTGTCTCAAAAAGACCAGGAAAAAAGAGGGCAGATATGGCAGTATGTGTTTGTGGGGGGGTGCTGGGGAGTTCACTGGGCAACTGGTCTAGTTAAAATGATAAATGGAGAGTGGTAGAAGGAACTTAATGTCAACCTCTAGCCAAACAGTCACACAGGTGAGTGCACCTGTTACACACGTGCATACATGCATATACCACACACATGCATTTGTGTACACACAACATGCATACACAAAGTGTACAGTTTTATAATGCTGTGGAACTCTGTCTTCTAGGCATGACATGGCCATTGTCACCTTGAAATCAGAGCAGCTGTGATTACCCCAAGGAGATAAGATTAGAGCACCTAACATGGCCTCATGGAAGAGTTGGGGGAGAGCTCACACAAAGCACAAAGCACATAGATCCCTCTCCTCCTGGGAGGAGAGACTCTTCCTTTTTCTTGGTGGTGTAGTCACCTGTAAGCTGCCCATGCACCTGTAAGTAACCCCAGTTACACTCACCGTCTCCAGGTTAGACCTGGGTAGAATCCTGTCTTTAGTCTGTCATTGCCTTCTCTTTCAGAGGTAAGTGGAATAGAATCTCCAGGGAAAGTCATGGAACAGGTAAGTTTTACCATGTTTATACATCCATGACTATATCATAGGTATACATCAATAAAGACAAAGTATAAGTGATTTGGTTTTCAGTCTCCTGTTATTGGGATGTCTAGTCTTGCCCCAAGATCCTCTGTGGCGAGCTCTTAGGCCTCCCTACTCAGGTTGGGATTATTTGGTTTAGAGTAGCCTTCGGGAGCCTCAGTGGTGCCTCTGTAGCCTCAGAATTCAGGGTGTAGAGAACAGATGAAAGGACTCATCAGAACCCTAGGTATTGTCTGAACGCTTGCTCTTGTTTAAGCATGTCTTCTGTCAAATTATTTTATTTTATTTTATTTATTTACTTATTATTTATTTATATAGCATCTTGAAATAATGTAGCTCTGGTTGGCCTGAAACCTATTATGTAGACCACGGTGGCCTCAAACTCACAGAAACCCACCTGCCTCAGCCTCCTGACAGTAGGGGTTCAAAGTGTACGCCACCATGCCCAGCTAGTTCTGCTTTTGAAAATGCATGTGTTGTTATTTATTCATATAGATTGAGTCAGTTATTAGTTTTTAAAGTTCTTCTTCCTTAAGCTGGAAGTGGTGCTACACGCCTTTAATCCCAGCATTTAGGAGGCAAAGGCAGGCAATTCTTTTTGAATTTGAGGCCAGCTTGGCCTACATAGTGAATTCCAGTCCAGCTGGGACTACACAGAGACCCTGTTTCAAAAAGACCAAAAAAAAAAAAAAGTTCTTTTTCCATTTAGCACCTTTTCCTGAAGTTCCATTTTTCTTGTTTTGTGTGAACATTGCTATCCTTAACTTGTTTGTATTTCCATTTTCCTGTTGTTATTCTCAGCCTTTCTAGGTTGTTCTTTTTATGCTGTTTATCTGGGTTTAGTGTGTCTTCTCAAAATGAGCATCCTTGTCCTTTAAAATAAGAATTTAACTAATTTGCATTTATTATGATTTCCCAGGGTGTTTTTTTGTCTTTTTGAGACAGGGTCTCCCTGTAGCCCCAGCTGTCCTGGAACTCACTATGTAGACCAGGCTGGCCTTGAACTCACAGAGATCTGCCTGCCTCTGCCTCCCGAGTGCAGGGATTAAAGGCGTGTGCCACCATGCCCAGCCATAAATTTTCTTTTTAAACATATGTATTTTATATTTTTTCAAAACCATTGAATTTTGTTCCATACTACCTTCAAACAATCATTTAGAGTTAATTAAATCATCTGGGACCCCGTGCGTGGGGCTTTTAATCCCAGGTTCACATAGTGAGGCAGAAGCAGAATGGTAGGAACCTCTGAACACAGTGAGGGTCTCAGTTCAGCAGCTGACAGTGGTCTGAGCACCTGCAATTGTCCGCCTATGAGTACTCAGCCCCTGTCAGAGTTCCAGGAAGGACTTATAAGCCAGCTTACTTTGGTACCCACTTGGCCCAGCAGCATGGGCCAACAGAGGGACATGTTTATTATTTATTATTTTAAAAATTGAGCCGGGTGTGGTGGCACACGCCTGTAATCCCAGCACTTGGGAGGCAGAGGCAGGCAGAGCTCTGTGAGTTCAAGGCCAGTCTGATCTACATAGTGAGTTCCAGGACAGCTGGGGCTGCAGGGAGACCCTGCTTCAAAAGAAAAAAAAGACAAAAATTGAAGCTGGGGGCCAATGAGATGGCTCAGTGGGTAAAACACTTGCTGGGCAAGCCCAATGACCCAAATTCAATCCTTAGAACCCAGGTAAAAGTGGAAGGAGAGAACCAACTCAACAAAGTTGTCCTGTGATGTGATTTCCACATGTGTGTTCCCACATACACATATCACACACACATTAAATAAAAATTAATTTAAAAATTTAAAATTGAAGCTTGCCAGGCATGGTGGTGCACCCCTTTTAATCCCAGCACTTGGGAGGCAGAGGTAGGCAGATCTCTGACAGATCGTGAGATCCAAGTCTACATAGCATGTTTCAGGATAGCTGGAGCTCAATAGGGAGACCCTGTCTCAAAAACAGAGCACAGTGTGGTAGTTCACACTTGTAATCCCATCACTCTGAAGACTGAAGCAGGAGGGTTTCCATAAATTTGAGGCCAGCTATGGCTACGTTGTGAGACCTTGTTTTAAAAATTCCCAAACTAGAGCTGGGTGTGGTGGCACACGCCTTCAGTTCCAGCACTTGGGAGGCAGAGGCAAGTGAATCTCTGTGAAATCAAAGTCAGCCTGGTCTACGAAGTGAGTTCCAGGCCAGCCAGGGCTACATAGTGAGACCCTGTCTCAAAAAGATTAAAAAAAAAAAAATTCCCATACTAAGCTGGCCAGTTGTGGTAGCACTCATCTTTCATTCCTACACTCAGGAAGCAGAGGCAGGTGGCTGTCTGTGAGTTCCAGGCCAGTCAGAGCTTCACAGTGAGACCTGTCTCCAAAAAAAGGCACACAGTTCAACATATGTATATGCATGTGTGCACACGTGTGAGAGAGTTTGTGTGTGTTTTCTGACAGGCATGGAATAATGGAACATGCTAAGTAGATTAAGATGGTCTTGAACTTTTTTCTTTTTGAGACAGGGTATCCCTGTAGCCCCAGCTGGCTTGGAAATCACTATGGAACAGGCTGGCCTCCATCTCACAGAGACAGTCATTGCCTCCCAAGTACTGGGATTAAAGGTGGTGGTACCTTTAAACAATTTTTAAATTTTGAATATTTTGAGATCTTCTTGCCTTTGCTTCTTGAGTGCTGGGCTTACAAACATGGATCACCATGTTGGGCAGTGTTTAGTATGTTTAACAGGGCTGTGCAATCACTACCACTCACTCCAGAACATGCTTATTTTCCCCAAAGAAACTCTCAAACATTAGTCACACACCCCTCCCTTCAGTTTTGGAGCCCTGATCAACACACTTTGTCTTTGTGGATTTGCCTATTTTGGATATTTTTGACAGGGTTTCAGTATGTAGTCCTAGCTGGCCCTGAATTTCCTATATAGACCAGGCTGGCCGGGAACTCATAGACATTCCTCTGCCTCTGACTCACGGGTACTGGGATTAAAAGACGTGCGCCACCATGCTCATGAGAATAAGTAGTTCTCGGTGCTTGGCATCTAGCACATTTTCAAAGTCTCTGTCTCAGGTGCGTTCGTTTTCTCTTAACTCCCGAGCACACTCCCAGAGAAACACCACGACAAAATAAGCTGTTGGCGTGGGGGGGCGGGGGAGGGAGCAGGCAGTGCGCTTCCTCTGCTCCGGGTGAGTGCTACCTTGTGCGTCACCCCCTTGCCTCGTCCTTGACTTCTGGGTGACAGCTCTGGCAGAGCTCCGAGAGATGACACAGTACGTTACTGAGTGTATAGCGTGGGTTCAGGTCCTGCGACAATGCCCAGGGACAAAAGCCTTGTGAAATGGAAGTGCACACAGCGGGCGCAGTAGTCATTACTGTAGGCACTAAAAAATTTATTAGTAGGACCGGGCGTGGTGGCGCACACCTTTAATCCTAGCACTCGGGAGGCAGAGGCAGGCGGATATCTGTGAGTTCAAGGCCAGCCTGGTCTACACAGAGAGTTCCAGGTCAGCTGGGGAAACAGGGACACCCTGTCTCAAAAAGACCCCAAAAAAGAACCCCCGAAA